TCCGTGATCTTCATTGGTGCAGGGGTGTTGGGCAAGAATTCGTGGCTGAGTCGGAAAATCGCCAACAACCCTGACAGGGCCAAGTTGCGGACGGACTATCCATGGGGGGAGGTCGTCCAAAGAATTGCGCGCAGAGCGGCCGCGTGCGGAAACCAGGTAATCATCGAGGTGCCTCCTCATGTGCAGGTTCAGGAAACCAAGCAGTACAAGGGGCTTCAGGACGACGCCGTGTGGAAGAGCATCAAGATCCAAGGATGTACTCACGGGCAACGTTATATCTTTCGAGATCCTGTATCTCCCGGAACTGCCGTCGAGCTCGGCTACTGCAAGGATGAATGGGAGTACTTTGCCGCGAACGTCGCGTTGCATCCTAAGTCGTCCGACATGTGCACGGCTAAACATTTGCACATGAGTGATATGGACGCTAAGGGCCGATCCGATAAGTGCGAGTTAACCAGCCAAATTTCCAGGAGATTGCTTAAGGCCTTGACATTTCAGGCAACGGGCGATGGGAAGTTGGTAGCAATACCGTCGAAGGCCGAAGGACGAAAGCCTGACCGCATGATTGTTGACCTTTAAGGCTTGGACAATGGCTACGCCGTGTCCAAGTCCACTAAGGGATCCGCTCGCATTACGTGTAAGGAGCTGATTGGCTCCAAGGCCGATGAGGATAGCCTTGTCGGTGCAATGAAGAAGTCGTGCCGGAATGACCTGCGCACACCTGTGCTGTTTGTGGCATCGCTTTTGCGATCAGGTGCCGGTCCTGGAGGTAGCGAAGGGGCTTGCGTGGGGGGTGAGAAACGCTCCGGTGGGAAGTACAAAGTTTTCAGAAGTATCTTGAAATCTCTCAAACGCCTGCTGAAGAAGTGTGCGGAATTTTCCGACGTCTATTTTTCGCTTGACATGCCTTCTTCATGTTCATGTTGGTCTTGGCCTGAGTTGCATGCTCTTGTTTCAAGTGGTAAGTTGATGAAGGTTAAGATTGATGATCATGTTGGTGCTGGTGGCGATGGTGGTGGACGCAGGATCATGTTCTCTAACATGCCTGAGGCGGATCGTTTGATGGTGAAAATGACTGATTGCTTGGACCATGAAGCGAGGAGCAGTTTGTCGCAGTGCATTGATGTGTCATGGCGGTCAATTGCGAAGAATGTTCGCAGCCTTGTTCGAGCTCATGCTAGTTTCAGTCATGATGCACATGAATCTGAGGACATTGCATGGCAGCATCGTCAGTGTGTAGACGCTGATGGAGGGGCTATTAGACAGCCCCGACTAAGGAACAACTAAGGTCTGACCCGACGGATCGGGGAAGGGTGTCTCTTACAGAGTACCTGGAACCGTGAAGTCGTATAGGGGTAGGTACTTCTCTCTCACGGAGGAAGGACCGTTTCCCGAGCCATGGAAGAAAGCTACAATGCCTATGAACTGTCCTTCGAAGGAGTGGCCCATGAAGAAGTTTTCCCGCATGGTGGGATGATGCGAGCGTTCATGAAGTTCCACACGTTTCTGCAGATGTACTCTGAGGATTCGTCACAGAGCGTACCGCTCCCGCCAAAGATTACAAAGGACAAAGTGGTCGACAATGATCTCATTCGCACATGGGCAGCGTTCAAAGCACCACCGCTGGTCTTGCTGTTCACGTGCGCAAATCTGTCGTCAGGAGGGGACCTTTCCATTCGAGTTCGAGAAATCCTCAAGGCTTGCTTGCATGCTGCCCCGGAGGAGTACATGAACAAACCTTATGGGGAGATCCTCGCCATGGTCATCAAATTTGGTGGAGGCCTCAAGCACATTGTTGCTGACCACGGAGGGAGGTTCCATTCCATTACAAGGTTTATGGTGGATGAGGAAGTGGTCCGTGATGATGCAAAGCTGGCTGTGGTCGAACTGGAACAGGAAAGACAACAAGTTCGGTTCGATTTGAACACCGCAACCAGGAACATCGTCAATGCGGATGTCTACTACAACCTCGCCGTCCTCATCAACTCCGTGGAGACGCCATATCAGGCCGTGACAGATACGAGAATCCAACAGTGGTATACGGTGAACCAGGACTACTACCACAAGTTGCCTATGTCAGGCAGAGCACCCGACCAATCCGACTTGTTGGGAGAGCCTACGTTGCGTAGGGTGTGCAAGCTGATGTTTATGTTCGCAAAGCATACTGGGTACGGGCTTCGAACCTACAACCAGGAATGTGCAGCGAGCAGCGACGGCGCCGCGCCGATCAACGTCCACCAGCTGGCTTTGATGATGCGCACAATGCCTCAGGGCATGGGACATCCGCTCGCCTTTGCGATGAACTCGTTCCAGGCGTTCAGCATTTGTCTCCACGTGCTTCATTCCTATGTATCGTGGGTAGATCCACACAGTGGAATCCCGCACTATCGATGGACTGCCGAGGTGCTCCCCGACTCCGACTATACCACGTTTGCTTTCCTCAAACACCATGTGGAGGCAGTATGTGCGGCTCAAGATCAGAACGGTTTCCAGTTGCCGGAGACGTTCCGTGGCTACACTTGGAACCAATGCGGAGTTGAATCTAGATACGTGGCTGACTGCTCCACCAAACGTGCCACCTTGGATGTATGGGAAGCTGAGTTTCAACAGATGAGAGCACCGAGTCCGCTGATGCAAGATGATGGTCTATTTCCGCCCAATCTCCAACGGCATCCTAACTGGGTCTACGCATCGGGGAGAGTTGCGATGCCTACGACAAGCAATCTTGAACCGGAAAGAATCGTGCATCCTGAACATGGAAGAACGCCGGAGCAAGCGCGGGACTCTGCCGCCGAGCCTCGAGCCACTCCAAGCCACGGACCAAAGAGGGCAAGGACGGATCAGGCAACGGCAACGGCATCGCCATCTTCTGCAGCACCTCCTCCACAACAGCAGCCTCCACAGCCGGAAGAGGAACCAACGCAACCGACATGGGAGGAAGCTCCGATCCCTGCTGGCGCTCAGGAAAGCTGGTATCACTACGTCAACATCATTGAGAAGGGCTGTCGCTCAGCTTTGCTGACGACGACACGTGATCGCGATGAGTACCCGCCTACCATTGACGAGACGCCAAAATTTGTGGCCAACCACGACGTGGAGACCACGCCTATTCAGCATTACGTTAGAAGACTGGTGACCTATTTGGCAAGGATCCGTTCCGTCTCCCAAAGTGATGACAAAGGTCTCAACCTGAAAGTCTACGTGAAGCTGAGCACGAAGGCGTGGCTTCGGATGTATTCACGACTATACCATGCACTGGCATTGGTATCATGCGTGCATCTTCCTTCTCCTCCGATGCTTACCTCGGCAGTGATAATCGAGGCAGATCGCGACCTTGTCGAAAGCGAATTCGTTCCGGAAGAGGCAAGAGTCAATACCATGAACACGCTGAATGGATTTCGCAATAGTTTGGGTATGGGTGGCAAACCCGATGCCGTGACTATGGGCTCTCAGTGCACGATCCTCGTTCAGGACTTTGACATCATTGCGAGGACCAGGGGATCAACGCACACGCTGAGAGAAAGCCTCAGCATGCATGGGTGGAACGAGACTCACATCGTGTGCCCGTCGATCACCACAGGCCTCAACTACAATTTCCAAGTTACAAAAGGGTCATTGGAATCTGTGAATGCCACATTGGACGGCTTATCCGAAGAGCAACTTGCAACCGTCACGTTGCATTACCATCTGTCTCTCCAGGCAATCCTCATCGAGAATATGTCATTTCCGATGAGTGACGTCGGTGACGGAGCGGCAATTCGTGTCAGATTGCAGCAACAGCTCAAGGAAACGTACGTTGACCCTATCATCGCAGCAGGGAAGCGTACCACGCGCCCTCCAATTGTCAACATCAACCACGACCTACGATTCGTTGGAGCAGCTAACAACTACCTTCACCACAAGGCTTCTCTGTTCAGCGGTTTCCACGCGCTGGGAATGTATATTGAACTGGAGTTGCGAGCCCGAGCATGCGTGGTGATTCACGGGTCTTCGTTTTGGTCAAGAATGTACAGCCAACTGAAGCATTCGCTATCGTCAGGCATGCATTCGCTATCAGCAGATAAGCTACCAGCACCAGACTCTCGTGTCAGGTTCAAATTGGGCTACACTATCTATGAAAAACAACTATTCAGCGAGAAGATGGTATCAACGTGCTTCGTCGAGACATCGAGGATACGTTTATGGGATGAAAGTGTCCGCATCGACACAGTTGCCCACCCGTCGCTTGTCGAGATCTGGGAGGACAAGAGTGAGGTCACCACGTCCACAAAGATTTCGCAGACATGGTTCACGGGAGAGCAACAGCAGCAAATCAGGTCCGGTGCCCAGGGCGACACAGTTGCTGAATCGTCCACGGTTACTTGGCAGGACTTTGACATCGCCATGATTGTTATAAGTTTCAAGATTTCGTCAAGCTTCCTGTTTTACTCAACCATAGATGCGATCCTAATCCGTCCAGAAACACACTCACTATAATGAATTAATTTACAGAACACCATCACACAACTTTCGCGAACACGTGCTTGGCTATACAGCTGTACAGTTGGTCTTTCCTCTGCATTTGCCTGAGGGACCGTTTGATCAGCATATACTTATTCGATATATGTCCAATTGAAACTTCTTGTCAGAATCTCTATTCATTTTCCAAGTTTCTGCTATTACATGTTATTACATAATATCATAAGTCTAAGCCAGAACTTCTTCAAACAATTAAATGATTTATAAGAATCAAAATCAATAACTTTTCGTGAACTATTTCTTCTACCCCCAAACCTAGTCCGATTTCGCAATTCCAGACACGGTCGACATCCTGGAAGTTTCGACTTGTTTCGGACCTAGCTGCCAACGAACATCATACCGATGGATGAGATCATTGGACAGACCCTTCATAAATATATAAGCAACACACATGCATTAAAGAAAAGCATCTCAAGCTTTGCTACAGCGTGCGATCCTATTGCCTCGAATATTTTTTCGATTCTAAATGACTCTCCGGGCCATCAAGAAACGTACTTAAGTAATCGATCTGCAGCTCGCAGAAAATCCACCATCTTGTTGTTGTACTTCACCTGTTCAGGCTGGTAAAGTCTTTCCGCGGTTCTCCCAGCATGAGCCAATCGCATGCCTGCTCTTCTGGGACCAATCTATTGATGTCCTGCACAGAATGACTAGACGAGACAGATCCCGCAGTTGTGGTGACAGGGCACTGGCGGGTTTCATGTTGTTCACACCAGACGATGCCTCAGAGTCCCGAATGGCCGACTGCAAAACCACAGCGGGCCAATCTGAGGTTGGAACCCCAATGATGTTGTATCGTGCAGCCAGCATGATTCTGCCCACGCGCTCAGCGTCCGGCCGTGAGTCCTGGAGATGACTGGGCAGACATGGAAACACGACCCAAACAGTAGAAGAAGCAACTGTGCATCCAAGTCTATTTGCGTTTTGTGCATGCGCGTGATCGTTTGCTTAGATGGAATCCCCAAGCAGTGCGGCACACCCTACTGGGTTGTTGCGTCGGGCTGTGGGTTCGGCGTTGGTTAGGTGCGTGTTCGCTGCGCCGCGGACAAACGTTTTGTGCGGTGCATGGTGCGCACTCACGTCCTATGTTTAACGGCCTCCAGAAACCCAGATTCATTGTAAATTCCCATGCGTGGGACACAATTTGGCCTCGAAAATGTTGAATCACCGGCTTGGAATACAGCATGTTGGCTGTCCTCTGAATCCCACAAGAACATGAGAAAAGCGCAAGGTGCTTGCTGAATCTGGCAGCACTTGACGGCAGCAGTTTGGCCGTGGTCCCGAATCCCGCCAGAATTTGGGCGTTCTGGCCGTGCTCCTGAATCGTGCCAGCACTTGGGGGAAGCAGTTCCTGGTGGTCTTCTCGTGGTCTCCTTGAGTCTTCTGATGGTTTCTTTGCTCTCGGTGGTCGTCGCGGTGGTCCGGGTGGTTCTGGCGGTCGTGGTCGACTTGGTCGTAGTCGTTGTCGCTGTGCTCTACTATCACTGTAGGGGGATGAACACTGGAATACATATACGTACAGATACATACAAATATGGGTATATTTTGGTACATACATACATACATACATACATGCATGCATGCATGCATACATATATGCGTATTCATGTAACATGTACGTCCTACATATAATACATATAAAGAGTGTTACGGACTGCAGGCCCGTGTTTTCGAGTAAAACACGTGCTTTTTAGAGGATTTAGGTGACTTCTAAGCAAACACCATACGTCTTATTAAACAACAAAAAGCGCAAAGCTGACGTCCCTGCTCGGAGGGATCTGAGCTTCCGACCTGAGTTGAAGATGTATGGAAGACTTTGTTTCAACCACATAGTCTGCTACACAGATCTCTTGCGGAAAGCTGTCCGATCAAAAAGCAAGCCGGTGCAAGCGTAGCTGTTTTGTTGGATGCGCGAATCTTCATCGCAGGTATGCTTGTACATGCGGAGAACGCAGTGGTTCTCTGGTTCATTACGAATTAGAACGTTGTCTATGCGATGTTTAGACATGCTTGTTGAAGCTTCAACTTCGTGAGGCACTGTCGTCTAGGAACCTACATAGCACGCAAAGGTGCTGGTGCAGTAGTCATACTTGACTGAACAATTTCTTCATGTCTCTCTCTCTCTCTCTCTCTCTCCCTGGATCTCACTTTCTTTTCATCATGTTCTTCATGACTCTGTGTGCCGGTTTCTTGCTGAGTTGCTTCATGACGTTGACGGCGGAAGTGGGACGACGGCAATGATACTTCTTGCTGGACGGCCTGCGGAGGATGCGAGCTGCCTTGGCGGCCTTGGCACGAGCACTGAAGGCATTGAGATGATAACGTTTGTTCTGACGAACAAGATTGTTGTGCATCTTGACATACAAGAGCACATAGAAGATGTGTGTGTCGTGAGCCTTCGTGTTGAAGCTGGACGCATAGCCACGAAACCATGAAAAGGTTTGTTCCGCCATGGAGGAATTCACGGAACGGAGGCGTAGATCAAGTCGACGGACATGAATAGGAGAGCAAGGACACGAAGCAGAATGTGCTTTGGCGTGGAATCGGTCGACAGACCAATACTTGATCTGCTTGAAGTCCTTGTCTGTTGTGAACGACTTCAAGCATACGCACATCTTGTCGTAAATGACACAATTCAAGTTGGTGGCCTTGGTGAGAACCTTGCCCAGGACATTCTTAGCGACTGCATTGTTTTCAGGCTCCGACATATCCGAAACAGATAGAACCATGCCACTAGACGGGTCTATGGCCACGAACCAACCATTTTCACGCTGCTTCGTATTCCCGTCCTTCCTTGGTCGTCCTGCGTGGGCAGGAGATGGCCCTGAGCATTTGGGCGCAACCTTTTCATGACCATCAGTGACAACCTCATGCACAGCACGCCACTCTGACAAGGTAAACTGTTTCCGTTGCCACCAATCACGATAGAAATCAAGAGACTTGTTCCCCGGTGGCTGTTCGATAAGGACGCCATGCAAGTGCCTATGATGCGAAGAGGGTGTCCACATCTGGGTGGCTTCCTTTACGACTTGATAAAAGAGCTGTGCGTTGGCATAGTCGATGTGCCATCGAGCGTGTTGGTCGGGTTCCTCCCACATGACCTCACCCTGGGCGAACATGATGGCATTATGACTTAGACCACCACGAAACTGCAAGGCATTGTGGTACTCCAGGAATCGTCGACAAAACCCGAGCCGACTGTTCACAAAGATGTAGTCCATGCGGTCCAGGTCCAAGCTATGATACTTATCTCCATCCATTTTACATCGCTTGATGACCATGGACACCTCCTCCATGCCACCAAGGGTGTATAGCCGACCCGATGCTACATGTGCAGTTGCCAATGGTGCACCACACTCTCTGCAAGATACCAAAGGAGTCACAATTTCACGTGGCTGTGATTGTTGGCATCGCTGCTCCCTGTAGCTTGTACTCAGGACCCGTCGCCTCAGGAAGCTCATGCGACACTGTGTCAGGTAGTGCACTTCGAAGTCTTTCCACCTTCTTGCTGCTTTGAGGTAGTACACTTGGTATTCTGTACATCACGTGACTTCGATATCCGCTGCTTCACCTTCTTTCGTCCAGAGTTGATACACCGGCATCTGTCCTTGCCCCACTGTTGTCATGTTGCGCACTTCTTTCTGACCATGGCTATGCGCTGTATGGGACACAACTAATACTACGAATACCTCAGAAAGACTAGCAAAACTTCGAAAGGTAAGAATCATCGAACTTTGATTCCAAGTCGTATAGGAATACAAATATGTACATACCAATATTAGGGACTACGGTTACAGTTTAGGGATAACTCTCTGACGGTGCCGCAAGTGAAGAACTTGTTGAGCTCGCGACCTGCAGTGCAGTGCATGATAAGCGAACTTATGGGTTCAGTGAAACATATACGTGTGTGTAACAGACTCTATTTTTATATCTATGCCTTCATACAGTGTGTACGTGTGCATGCAATAAGATATCTACAAACAGAGACATATTACCATGCAGCTAATAGCCTTAAACATTCATATAACAATATAGACATATGCAAGACAAATAACACAAACACGAATACAGAGCTTGCAATGTAGAGTAATGCGAGCAACTACATCTTGAATTGTAGTTTAGGCATGAGTGGATTACATAAGCAAGAAGTAATTAGTATGGATAACAAGTACTTGTTTACGAACATGATAGGTTGTAAGATGAAAGATAACGCGTCGCAGTTATCAAAAAGAATTGACAAAAGGACCAAGAATGGAAGAGTTTAGGGGTTGTATTATTTGATTGGCACAAGGAATCCCAGCGAATGGAAAAGCAGCAGATACACCCAGAGGGGAGGGGGTAAAGGGTTCGGGACTGGGGGGGGGAAAAAAAAAAAAATGCTCTGGTAGGCTGACACTTTTCCAAGCTTGTTGAAGCCATTTCCGAAAAAGACCGAAGTGCACGTTCCTATGGTTTTTACAATGGATTCGACACCCGTCTTTGCGCAAGCGACTGGGCAAATCTTTGCGCAAGCGACGCGAATTTCTTTGCGTAAGCGACGGTGCTGCCAGGAGATCATCTCGAATGCCGCCAGTTCGATCAACGTGCTCACGGAGCGGGACCACACGTACAGGACCGGCCGCACCCTACGCACTGTGTTCAGAGCAGACAACGCTGTATAGACGTGAGTTATGAACATATACGCCAGCAATCTATGAGCAGTAAGAAAAGTTATCATCCTAAGAAACATGTGCGCTAATATGCAACGAGCTGTGATATATGCTGCAATATAGAGGATACGAGAAACTGGGGCCTGTAGTGTGCTATTTTCTATATATATATATATATATATATATATATGTATGTATATATATATATATATACACGTATATACCTGTACACGTGCGTATGTATGCATGTGTTCATATGTGAGTATATATTTACACACACATCATCTACACATGAACACATGCACATGAAATAGACTACGGCAAGACACAAGAATCAGGAATGATGACTGGTGAGTGCACTGACTAGACTCAACCAGCAGCTGGGAAGAAGGATTAAAGCACGCTATCCAACCCGAAAAGAACTCATCTGCATAGCCTCAGCTGCTTCAGTAGGTACGATGAATGCACACAGAAACGCTGTGGCAACAAGTCCTCGAAGACTGCCTGCTGCCACGCGCGCGAGAATGTTACACAAGTATGTCACGAATCCTGCTTTACATCGTGTCCTGATCGAGCAGATCATAGATGTCATCCATGGCTGCGCGGATTTTGTCAGGCCTTTGCTGCCAAAGTTCAACTGGGTTGAAACTGCCTCCGATGCAAGCGAGCAGCTGCGTATCGAAGTACGGGGTGAAATCGACTTCTGGATTCGCCGTGAACTTCCTGGCAAAGTATCAGTACTTTGACTTGAGGCAACTATCTAGGTGTCTTGCGGCAGCAAGCTTGCAGGGGCTGCGTCAATAAGGACTTGATCTTTTCACGGCACTCTTTGATCAGGCCGATCGCCTCGGCAGCAGGCAACTATGGTAAGTCTGCACGATGTGTGGTTACGGGCTGTGCACATGCGTTCGCTCGCAGCATGTTCTGGCCTTCTGTGCCTTCTCGGAGGTCACATCTCCCACAGGCTTCCTACGAAAGTCAGGTCAACTCATGCATGCTCTTCTTGCTATGCAATCTCATCACACCGTGCAGTCTCCTGGTTGGTTCTTGAATCTCATCCAACGCGCGATAATCGAAGGCGACACCAAGTGCTTTAGCGCCCTGATTGATGCCACTCTTGACGCCGCAACTAGACACGGCATTACACAACTGTGAGGCCTCCGCAGGGAAAAGCAGTGCACCGGCGCCTAGCTCGAAAAGCCTCCCCGTGAGACGAGAAAGCGGCCAGGGTTCACAACACAAAAAGTCAATCTTAGGGTCGTCTGCTTGCCTCCTTCGGCTGTGGTGACGACCATCAGCAATCGAGCGGCCTTTCTCAGACATCACCCTTGAGCTAGCCGCACTTGACGGGTCTTGCATGTTGCTGCCTGGAGCTTCCAGAAAAGCGTTCTCGCCCAAGGCAAGGCATACGGCCTGGATGAGAAATTCTGAAACAGTCTGGAGCAGCACTCCAAGCCGATGGGCAGTCCACTGCTAGTTGCGAGTCGCAGATCTGAGCGGCAAACTAGAGTGAGTGCTACGCCAGCACATCGCCTGTACGATCCGCCGCTTAAATTATTGCACCGTGTTGAACACATCTGTGGCTTCTGGCCTCCTTCCCGTCTTGTATCTCTCTGCAGTCATGGTATCAAGTGCAAGGCAAGGACGAAAAAACCACAGGCGCCAATGATACTATGGCAAAGGGTGCTACTCCCGGGTTAAGCTGTTCGTTGGGGTAGCCGTCGACATGTTGAAATGAATGCCTCTCGCTCTCCAACCTTTATGATAAGCAAACGCTGCGGTCTCATGCGACTGCGAATGTGCAAACGGAAAAACCCCGCCCCATGTCAACCTCTGCAGGTCGAGCCAAGAGCTTTTTTTGCCTGTAGCACCTTGCCCTCCCCCTGCAAGGCTCTGAGAAAGCCTGCAAGACTCTGCAGGTCGGGCCCCAAGGCTGAAGCTTCGGTCAGCTCGGATTAGACAGAGCGGCGCCAGGTCGTCGGTGGAATTTAGGTCTGCCTTCAAGAGACCTGCCCCCGGCTGCTCTTGCTGGGCCGCCCGTCGCCTGTCTCCGTACTGCTGGTTCGCAATAGTTGCGAAGCTGCGTTTCACGGGTAGTTGAGTTGATTTTCATGCATTCTGCACTCATCGTGCGCGCAGACTTCAGCTTGTAAAGCTCAGGTCCAGCCTGACTCGCAGAACTGGCAAGCCCAATGACATCGCAGGAACATGAATGGCCTTGCTCAACACAAAGCGGTGAAGCGTGCCGGGTGCTCTTTCCGATGGTCTTCGCTTCGTGTGCCCTTGCCGCGGAGCCATCCTAGCAAGACTCATTCTGCAGGCCGCTGGATGCTCAGCTTCCATTGGGCTGCACCCAGTGAACCGGCTGAGGGCTGAGGCCTTCATTTTCCTTTCCTGTACCCGAAAGGTGGGGATCTCGGCCTCAGTGGCACGAAGTCGCTGGAGTGCAATGCAAGAGCAGTAACCCAAGGTCTGTGCCGCCTGTGTTAGCTCCAAGACGTGATGACAACCTCAGCTGGGCCACGCAAGTCTGCCCGCGATAAGCTGAGTCCGTCGACGGCTCTTTCTCTGCAAGTAATATCGAGGCTTTAGCGGCCGAAGGAAACAACCAGCCTCATGCACACATCCATACATCTGGATACCCGCATACATAAAAACTTGCATGTGTATCTGATGCCTGAGTGCGCACACTCAGCCGAGCTGGCTTCTGAGGCCTCGGCTCGCCTGACCTCCCCTTCCACCAGCTCCCTGAACGCACGTTAGCTGAGCGTCTCACAGCTTGACAAGAGAGTGAAAGCAAAGAATATTGCATAGCGCTGCAGAGCATGCTGGGGCAGTGCCGTAGAACGTGGCGTCCACTTGACGCCCTCTAAAAGAGACGTTCGAAACATGCGAAGCTCCGGGCCTTCCCGGCTCCGGCCGATTTCAACTCGCAGCCCTCCCGCGGCTCCGAGCCTTTGCATTCAAGCCACAAACCACAACGATACACACACCCCCACACACACACACACAATATATATATATATATATATATATATATATGTATGTATGTATAATAACAATAACAAGAATTCGAATAATATCACTGTTACTCTTACTATTTCTATTAATATATATATATATATATGTATAAAGAAGTATAATATGTAAATATATATACATATATATATATACACACACACACATTTCAATACAACCTTTCACCTGTTATCTGACCGGCTGGTGTGTTTCTGCAATCGGAGGGCTGGATGACTCCTCCCGTCATCTCCTGCCAAGACCAGGCCACCGGGCTCAAACCAGCCGTTCGGGGTCTTGCCATCGTGAAACCAGAGCCACCGCCTGTGCCAAGGTTTTTGATGGGCTTTCGATACTTGAATTAACATGCCGACAACCATATTCCTCCATCACACCTTCGCCCGCCAAAGTGCCAATCTCCCAGCTCTTCTTCAGTCGCCGGCCTGGCCAAGAGGGTCATTACTCGAGTGCAGGCGTCATCCTATTCCATGGTGGGCATGGCCAAACTGGAACGGCCACCGTGAAAATGGAACTGCTGCGGGAGCCAGGACGAAGTCTCTTGGCCATGCACCTGCTGAATCGTGAACAGTTCCGATGCAAGCCGGCCTCTAGCGAAGTTCCAACGAGCAGTGGTTTCTTCCCGTGCTGTCTGCGTGCCGACCTCGTGGACGGTGCCGGCTTCCCTGACCTTGCCCTGGGGCCCCATCACACGGAGCCATCAGACTTTCGCCAAGCGCGGATTCATAGAATCTGAGCTTGCAGACTTCGGCCAAACCAACGATGCCGCTGCCAAAAGGCGAAACATACAACCTCAGCTTCAGGAGCCACGCACAGACCACCCAAGGAATCCCATCATGAAGCCAGGCTGATAGGCTTCGAAATGAAAAAGGAAAACTAAGCTCCACCTGCAAAGGACTTTGAGCATGCTCAAGTAATCTTGACGTCGCTCTGACCAGTGGAGAAGATGGTAAAGGCCCCGGCAAGAAACACCCACGCAAGGCGTCGCACAGCCTCCAAGCCTGGTTGCTGAGCACTTGCTGGAATTCAACTACTCCGTCTTGATGCAAGCCGTTGACGTGTTGCTACCAACTCCAGCATTGCATCGAAGCACTGAGATCGACTGTGATAAAGCTGCTGTGCTCTTGTTGCGACATAAGGCTTGCAAGCGCTGAGGAACTGCGATCTGATCGCTGCTGGTCAACAATTGCGTACTGCAACCGGTTGTCTACAATCTGTCATTTCTGCTTGAACCAGAAACGCTGGCATTGGCGGCACAGGGTTGCAGTGCCAGTGTAGTTCCAGTCGCATTGTGGTGCAGGTTTAGATGCTGCAGTCGTGTTGTGTAGTGTGCTGGCTAGGAACCCATCGTGTTCAGTGGAAGTTGATCACTAGCAGGTGTTCCGGAAATGTCCGCGTGTATTGTGCGTCCATGCGGACCCCTTCAAATTACGTACTGCAGCCAGCTGCATAAAACACGCTCGCAAAACTTGCAGTTCTATGGAGAGCTTCTTCACCGCTTTGCGAATCTAGAGTCTCCAGAGTTTGATCTGTCCCTTGTGACGAATGGAAACAGCAAGACACAGACGAATGCGCAAGCTTTCGAAGCCCTTTCTCTCTCCCGTCGGCTCGGGTCTGGAGACCATTCATTCAGCCGCGCGAAAGAGCCACAACAGCCATTGCACGACACTCCTAAAGAAGTGACCCAGCCAACCCGCGGTGGGCCCAAGACTTCGCAAGAGCAGAGACAATCTTCAAAGTTCTGCTCTGCAAACTTTGCGAGCTCTCCCTTTTGGGAGCCTCAAACCGAATGGTAGAAAGCTGTTTGTCAACATACTTGACGACGCGACATCCTCTCTTTATGCTGTCGACTCTCAGCTCCTTAGTTTACGTGCACGGCTGCAGCTTCTGCCTCCGGCAAAAGCGCAGCCAATAGCACTTCAAAATTGCCTCCGAAGGGTCTCCCCTCGCGAGCTTGGACCGACCATCCGGGGCCATCCGGGCGGCTACCTGGCTAAGAATTTGCCAACTCCCTTGTCAGGAACACAGAAGGGACTCACTCTTAGTCCTGCCTGAAGGAGTGGTCAAGAACTTCTTGAAAAGGCTTGAACTCCATGGAGAGACTGACAAAGCGAAGAGGAGACATCTTGCAACAATCTCAGATCTCAGCACGGAGATCCCACAGCTCCGGCCTCCTCGCTTGGCGGTTGAGTTCTCGCAGGAACTCGCGGGAGTTCCAGTCCTGCCGGTAGATTCTGTTGGCGTTGGACATGCGACAGCAACGCTCCAACGCCAAGCGCCGCATCAACAATGATTCCAGTCAGAGCTGTAGCTTCGCCTTGGAATTAATGCCCACTGAGTGCGCTGTGTCCTGTTGCAGACGCTTGCCTCGCTGCAGTCTTTCGCCTGCGGCGCCCTGACGAATCAAGCATCATCGTGCAAGCCCGAAGGCAACTGCCAAGAACTTGGAGCAAGGACTTTCTTTTCGAGCGCTACTGATGCAACGCCAGGGCTGTGCAGGCCAGAGGCCAGGGCTGTGGTGAAACTTTTGGCTGCGCGCCAATGATCGAGGCTGAGCCTGCAGAGGCTGGTACCTTTGAGCCTCCCTTTCATGTCTCCTCAGCGCTCTCCGAGGGGCCTGAAGCTCATGCGACCAGTACACCAGCCAGTGTCCTCTATTGTAGAGACCGCCAAGCAGAAAGGTTCAGGTGCCGCACTTAGTGATGGCCCTCTTCCCCACTTCGCAATGCCTCTATGCAGCCTGCAGCTGCGCCATGGAGCATTCACAAGCTTTGAGGACCTCTTCTGCTGGAGACCAAGCTGTCGGCAGCCTGCTTCCTGCGAGTCAGTTGCAAAGGGGGCTGGGCAGTCGTGTAGCACCAGCAGACCCGGCTTTTCGTCTCAGAGTAATGCTCCACAAATTCTACAACGACTCAAGCGTTGCGAAATTGCTATCTCTCCCTCGGCAAAAGCATGCCAAACAAGGTTCACAGTGTGATAGAACATCCCAGTTAGTACCAGTAACCCCTTGTAACCCCCATACGGCTACATATCAGGTAATGCGAGTACCTTCAACTGTGGTAGCCGAGGATGTGAAGCTTGAGGTGTTGCTGCCCGGGCCTTGGCTTTTTCTTGGGACGCTTCTTGGCTGCAGGCTCCTGTGGATGGAAGCCGTCTGGCAAACGTCTCTCACATGAAATCCTCGTTTGGGTTCAAGTTTTAGGGATGTCACCTCCATCAATAATCGATAGCGTGAGATTGTACTTTGGAAGTTCCTCCATGTTCCTCTTGCCGACAGCTGCAATTATCAGCTGTCCTTCTCCTCCTTGGCATCCTCTTCTGCCTCATCGTCGGCCGTGCCTGAGAACGGTACCACACATCGCACTCTCAGACTCTCCGGCGCACATATTCGCACCTGCCTCCTAGGACTTCGTCTAAATCAAAGTCCACCTCGAGGCTGGCCAGCTTCTCCTGGGATCCCCAGACCCTCAAACCTAGGGGGTGCTGAGCAGAGGGCCCCTTCCAAAAATGTCGAGTCCTTGAGCTTTCGCTTTTGCCGCAGCTGCCTGCTGGCCTGCCAGGTACATCTCTACCAGTAGCTGGGATGCACAATGGTTCAATGGGATGCAGCGGCGCATCGCCAGTGGCGCCTGTTGCTCTGTGAGCTGCGGAACCGACATGCCGTTGACCTCACAGCCCGGGCCCCAACACCGCAGATGCTTGAGATGCTTGAACTCACGACTCACAGATACCTCAACCATTGGTCGGTCGTTGTCTTGTATGACTTCCTTCTCTCGCCTCTCTTTTCGAGTGTCCTGTAGAAGCAAGCACGAGCCAAAGACCCAAAGAGAGGATTGTACACAGGCATGTTCCACTCCGGGACTTATTGAGAAGGAAGCCGTGAACAAGCTTAACTTGTCCTTCGGTATTCTTCGCCAGCCGGCGAAGAGCTTCTTGTGACACTGCCAGCACGGTTTCTAAGTTTCTACGGCATGCGCACAAGGCCAGACTGCTCTGCAGGTATGTCCGTGTATCCACCTTCTCTTTGGGCAGGAACTCACATACAAGGGACTTGTCAAACAGAAGGTACCTGAGCTTCGCCACGAGACAAATAGCTGGCTGCTCAAGCTGTGGACCAGCGAAACCGAGGCGGGAGCTTGTTCATGGTAGATGCCACAATCTTGGCCACGCTCTCCTCTTTGAACTCGATGAACGCATAGCCCTGCAGCAGGCTTGGAAAATCGGCCAACAAACACCATCCTTGCCCAAAGAAGCCCCTAGCTGTAGAACCCCTATAGAACCCTTGTCAGTCTCCTTCTAGAACATTCATAACGGAACCCTTCCCTTCAACACTCTAGAACTCTACAAGTGTCCGTATAATAAGTACTCCTTTGGGAGTCCCTGATCCGGCCTTGGAGCCCCCGGTCTTCCGGGAGCGCGCCAGGCGCATGCGAGTGACTTGGCCGAACTGGGAGAAGTACCTGCTATGATATACGATAATAGTATGATAATATGCGATATCATAGGATAATATCTACTATATTAAACGATATGGTACGATGATAACCCACTGTAATATATGCTATATGAAGATGTGGCCCTTTTCACTTGGGAGCCACGACTGTCGGGGAGCACTTTCTCATCTGCGGCTCGAAGAAGCCGTTTGGAATATGGCCTGGGTTCGAGGGCTGCTCTCTAGATTCGTGACAAGAGCCGATTCCGAGGGCTTCACCCAGGTAAACCACGCCCTTGGGCTCCTTCTCCTCTTTCTCTTCCTCCTCCTGTCCAAACTCGCCATAACACCCCTCCAAAAGCCCAGTAGAGCCCAGTTTTTCAGCGGCCTCCAGGGCCTCCTTCAGGCGGTTCGCCTTGGTTCTTCGAGGCCTCAGCGAGGCTGAAGGCTCCGTGTCCGTGGCTTCTTAACTCTAATGCCTGGCTGAGGCTAAGCCTAAGCAAGATCACACATCCGTGCGGCGAAAGACCAGGGAGCAGCGGATGGCTGCCAATTTTTTTTAGAATTCAATTCTATCTTGCTTATGTAAAATGCTGGAAGGATCTTGGACCGAACGGAGGGGCTGGACTGTCGTACCATATCGGGCCAGACCAAAATTACGATGCAATTTGACCTGCGGCTTGTCCTCAGCAGCTCGCTATCCCTGTACGTGAAGTACCGGTGCCGGTGGTTCGGTTAATCCTAGGTTGAGATCGCGGGCCCCGATGTAACTCCAAGGGAGCGGCTTCTCCACGGCCTGGGCACGGAAAACATGAAGCAAAAGACCAGGAGGGGACTTGCGGAAGTGTTCCATGCCGATGGCTTTGTCGTTGGTTTCTCCCTTCGGGCAACATTAAGCAAAGATGATCCAGTTCGCGCCCCACGGCCAGTCGCTTTGCGAGAGGCAGCAAGAAGCGACGTGCTTTTGACATCTTCCCGGTGGCAACACCGGTGCTCGCCAGCAGCCAGGAAAACTACACATTGGACCAAGATAAAGGTTTGCATGGCGACGCGACGTACCCGTACCAGCTTTGGGACAACAGAGGCATTCAGATCCTTCAGCGGAAGCTGGTAAATGCCAGCACGGCCAAGCAGCTGCTGTTCAATCAAAGGGCTCCTAACTTCTTCCGAATGATTTGCAGCAGGTCCTCCTTTACCATTCCGCAAGTCGGATAATTTATCCTCGTGTCCGGGTTTCCAACCAAGACGCGCTCGAACGAGGACTTCGTGATAGGTCGGAACAGAACCCCAGAAGCCAACGGATTGGAGTCAGACTTGAGAAGCATCTGCATGGAGTCATCCAAAGGCCCCAAGCACTTAATGTCGTGACAGATGAATCCAAGTGACTTCGGGTTCCGCTCTCTGAGTCGCGATGCGAGCTCCGAGAAGGCCGTCGGACCTACTTCCGAGCTGCAGAGAAGGATCCCATACGCTGGCTGCACCGTCAAAGCCATTCTCATCGCATCCACAGTGGTGACTGCTAAGTCGAAGTCGAAATGGGCCCTCTTCAAGACCTCCTGTGTTTGGAGCTGCAGCTGGAAGTTGTTAATGGCTTTGGTTGACTCGGCGACAGCGGTGGCGGCAGCACTCTGCATGGAGGATGCTGATGGCGCTGGCTCCAGTACAAGCACACGAGGCTTCGAAAATGCCATATATCGCAATCGGGATGCGAAGCCGATCCCTCCGTTCCGAGGGCCTGTTGGGTTCTCGCTGAACACGAGCTCACCTCGCGCAAACATCAGGAGCCAGGGAGCCTCCCGAACACCGTAGTTGGTGACCAAGGGATTCGTGTGCTTGCCAGCTGAGTGGATGGCACCAGCTTCTGCCAAGTCTGTAAGGAAGAAGAGCACGTTGTCTCCGGCTGCCTTTAGTTCAGACCAGGCACCTTCGGCCATGACTTGGGCATGGGAGCTGGAGCTGTACTGAGACTTCCGAGCCCAGCTGGCCACCACCAGCACGACCATCAACTGACCACCCTCAAGGCTCCCGGCTCGGCTTTCCACTTCATGGCATTGGATATACTGCAGGGAAGCTGGCGGGTTCAGAACCACGGGTTCCGAGTAGGGCTTGCCTGGGTGTGGCTGAGGCCACAGAAAGCCTTCCTTCAGAGCCTTATTAATAGGCAGCCTTCCAAGTTTTGGATGGACCTTGTTTGCCAAATTCTGCTTGAGAAGGTGGTCATGTGTGAAGTCGATGCGCCCTTCTGCAAACTGCTTGAAGGCCTCCAGTGGAAGCCTCATGGTTCCTTCAGACGCGGACTTCTTCAGCTTCGCGGCTGGGGCCGAGGTTTCATGCAGACTTGTAGCGGTCGTACTCAGACAGGAGGTGCTGTTCTTGAGCGTCTTGTCCAGTAAGCTCGCGCTTTCTGTCATGATCACGCATGAGGTATCGAGAGAAGCCTGCGAAGAGAGGTTGATCGTCCCGTTGATCTCTAGAGGATTCGTGGCGGTTGGCAATCCATTTCCACGGGAGGAGAGCTTCCAGACTTCACCAACATAGAAGGTGTAGCTCACACCTCCGGAGTTGAAATCCAGTGAAGTCGTTCCACTTGCTGGGTTGTACGTGACCACAAGTTCCGGGCAAAGGCGCAAGCTTAATGGATCAAGCGAGGTCGTGTCCCCTGCCAGTGCCGCACGGCTCATGCGAGTTTTCGAACCGTTCGGCCCGGACGTAATCACAATGACATGGGTTGACGTCACTTCGTAGGAGCCTCGACAACCCGTCCCATCAGGTGGAGTCTCAAAGAGCCCTATGCCCCACTCATCCATTGCCCCCAGAAGTCTCGTGCGACCGCGATCGCGCTTGGGGTCTTCAGGGCTGGCAGAACAGAAATGTGGAGAAGTTTCGGAGACAGCAGTTTTGACACTGAAGACGGAGCGGGCATAAGCAAGGGCACTGAAACGTCTCGATTGATGGTGCGATGACACGCAGACCGCTTTCTTGCCTGAAGGGTAGCTGGCCACTCCGCTACCGTCCTCTTGGCATTGCACCGCGGCAAGTCCTTCTGGGTAGGAGAGGTTGACCAAGGGAAAGATAGGTCCCAAATCTGAACGAAGATCGCCATGCTGTGCAGACCATCTGGGATCATTCGGACGGCGAGGCTCAAACTGCTCGCCGGCAGCTCGCCGTCTGGGCTCAAGGATTTTAGACTTGGACATTAGTCCACAGGCATTTCCATGGATGCCTCGAACTACTCTGGCTTTCAGATTCAGGGCCACGAAGCTTTGGGCCCTGCACCTCGCCTCGAGCCATGATAAGCCATGCACCCAGTCGCAGCTCTCAATGCAGCTCTGATGCTCTCAGCCTCAGAAGATCCCCGAAGCGCGGCCCGGACCCCGAGCCTCGACCGTCTCGGCCTCCGCGACCTCCTCCGCGGCCTCTTCCGCTCCGTCGGCCTTGCCAGGCGAAAGGCACCGTACCGACCTTGCAGCCCTCGGCGCAACTGGGCGGAGACGTGGCGGGTTCCGGTCCTGCTCTTCTTCCGCAGACTCAGACTCCTGCTCGGCTACCTGCGCAACTGGGCCGTTGCGTTTCACCCTGAATTCCGTGCCAGTCCCGTGCCTGTGCAGGGGCTGCCTTTGCCTTCGGCGCTTTCTTCGATCCCTTCTTCCCCTGTAAAGTGCAGGAGCAGAAGAGATGCTTCGGTAGATTCTGCCGCTGCTCTGGCCTTCTTGGCAGCCTTTGCCTTTGGCATCGCGGGAGGCCTGCGCTTCACAAGCCAAGTCATCTGTGTCTTTGGCTGCGGCCCCCCACTTCAGAATACCACACTCATATCCATGCACGGTCGCGACTCTAAAGTGAAAAGCCTCCAAGGAGGACGGGATTGGCGAAACCTTGATTATGTGATGCAGGATGACTAGGAAGCAGCAGTGGGCTTAGTAATTTGCTCGGTGTTTCGTTAGAAAGTCCCATGTAATATGGTTGCAAGACTCCAAAGTTCAGTCTGCTTGAGTTGAAGCGGCTGCGTGAGAGAAACCTACCTGCTCGAGCTCTCCCAAGGCACCGGGAGTGTAGCACGAACCAAGCTGTCACAATCTAGAATCTTGTACTTCCGTCACCGTCATGTTGCATTGGATGCAGTTTGCAGCAGATGTTTCTAATCCACCTCGTCATCTGCTTCTTCAGCAAGTGCTCCCGGGCCTTGCAGCAAAGTCCGCACGTAAAGGTACATCACCGCCTCATGCAGCTTCATAGCCCTTGCCTTTTGCTTTGCAGCAGAAGGCCGGGTAGTCGAAGCTAGAATTATCCTAGAGGTGCAGAACTCTGTCAAGAGCTCGCCACGAGGATCCGGGGTGCCTTCTTGACCTCTTTCTGACCCTGCCACTTTGCCTCGGTCTCGCATTGTCTCGCCAGCCCTCAGAAATGTCGGCAAAGTGCCTGAGGTTTCGCATTGTTGATGTCCACAGTGTGATCCAGCCTGATCTGCAATCTGCCGTCATCGGAAGTTTTTTGCTGCGAGATACAGTGTTGAAAGCGTGGCAGGTTTGCAGTGAATCTTCGTTGTAGAACAACGGCTTCCCCAAGAAGTCAGTATGATATTCTGGCGCAAGAACCACCTTGCACGCATACGAACTTGGAAAGCTGTCTGCCAGGACGAAGGTGGGAATGACTGACACCTCTTCCGGTTCAGCAGCAGTACAGCAAGAGGAGGCCTAAAGAGCGCGAAACGCGCATCACACCACGTCCAATCTCATGGGACATACCGGGTGCAAGCAGGTGCCGGACCAGTTTTGCACCCATAGGCCTCAAGCTGCCGCAAGTCCCAGCGCAGGCCTTGCTACACGAAATTGTGATGTGCAAACAGAGTTGAACTCCGAAAACGAGACGGCTGCCAAGACTGCTCGAGGGCATTATGCATGGCACTCCCCGTTTGACACGGATGCCTGGGCTACTGAGGAAAATTGAGCGGTCATGTCCGATTTTGGCCGCTGGTTTCTGTCGGAACTTCTTCGCCGCCTGAGGCTGTGTTTACGACTGCAAGATTTTGACATGTCAAGGCCCGTTGGCTGGTGAGCCGTAAAATGACTACGAGAAGCTTGATGTATGCGGGTGTACACATGTCGGAGGCGATTGCAGCGCGCTCAAGACCGCTCCGGGTGTGCTCTGCAGATTTTCCGGGTGGCATTGCTCGTTATCTGCTCCAGCACATACCTCTGTGCTTGGTAGAACAAGCATTCCCATGGCTGATAGCTCGGCAACCTCAATGTCTACGCGGATGTCGAGCAGCGGCTTCAAAGGGGATGGACTCTACGTCAGCTGGACAGGTAGATTCTAAAGCAAGCGATGATTAACTGGATCCAAGATCAAGTCTGCTTGACAAGCTCGACTACAAGAACGGTTCTGAGGACTCCGAGGTTTCAGCATGGAAACGGAACTTCCAAGGATCAGAATCTCAACGTGCTGGTCGCACATGAAGAAGTAAATAGGGGAACGCCTGCAACGGAGATGGTGCCTGCATGCGCGAGGTAGGGAACCATTCTTCATTCGAGGATCTTCATGTGCGCGCTCCGCCGGCACGTCAAAAATCCTTGTGCTGCGCTTGTGACCCCCTGCAAGGCGTGACGGGCCACTGCTGTGCTTGATAGTGAACGTGAACCTGGTTCGTGCTCTGTGGCACGTAAAGGCGCGAGACTCCACATAAAGACCGCTAAACTCTCACAAATGACGGAAGCAATAAGAACACCCAGAAGTACAGAGCAAACATTTCTGAGGCCGAAAAGGGATCTCGCAAAATTGCTCAGACTCCGGTCCTGTTGCCGTCACTACTTCGGGAAGATCGTGCAGTCTGGCACTGCCTGTCGTCCCATCGAAGAGCTTCTGAGGATCCATGGCCTGTCTCGTCAGAAATCGGGCAGTTTCGGCTTTCAGACACTGACACACTGAGCTTGGAGCGGTGTTGACACATTGACCGCAAGAGCAACTGTGTCCTTCGACAGGTGACCGCGGCTCCATCCCAACGACAAATATCCAAACGAAACCTTCAAAAAGGATCTCGGGACTCAAGCGAACTGCTGCCACTTCAGGGAGGATCTAAGCCGCGCACTGAAGTGGCACCAGGCCACACATCATGAGGTAGATCCACCTCTGCTCATCAATCGGCGTTACTGGAAACTATTGAGAACTCATGAGCAAAATTGAAAAAGCAAATGAAGCTCTACTTCCAACTCAATACACCAAAAATCCCAACCTGATGCTGGACTTGCACACCGAGGAACTGCAAATGTAAGATCAGTCAGCACGAAGCGATCTACCTGGCTGCAAAGCTTCCGCAATTTGGGCTTGTTCCTGGTGCAGCGATGGATTTGTCGCCAGAGCGACACTGGGAAATGCAATCGAAAGGCTCTAGGCTCCAGGCACTCACACACGGCAAGTAGTCACTGCTGGAGCTACGACACCCTCAGCTGCTTAAATGCCAGCGCACCAGTATGGAACGATCTCGTCGTCAGAATCAGTGTCATCCTGCAACATGCCACGTCATCGGGCCCCACTCTGCAGAACACCGAGACACATGTCCGGCCTGCGAGGCCCATTGCCTTATGCGAGGACCAGTGCCCCACCTGCAGGGGGGGCACAAGCTCACGAGCTTACGTGCAACTGTGCTGCCCACGCTATTCCCACGAGGCCCCGGCCCCCTGGTCTGCCTCGGCGGCGGCGGGGCCACCCGCTCGCGCTCGGAAGCCCTCTCCCGCCTTGCGAAGTGCCAGATGGTGCCACATGTTGCAGCTTGAGTCCTCCCTTCCCCATTCGGGCCGCGCGCTCGTCGCTGTGAAGCGAAAGCTCCGAGTGCGACTCCGATTCGGAGACGGATGCCTCCACAAGCTGTGGTTGTCTGTCGCCACAACAGAAGCTGTCAGCGTATCAGTAAATGCCTCTGTCGATTCTACAAGCGGCAAAATACAGGCCCAAGGCATGGCTCCGTGCAGCCGAAACAGGCTCCTCGCCTCTGACTCTGACTCTTCCTCTTCGCTGCTGCTCCTTAGCGGCAAGCAGCTGCTGCGATGGCCATGGCACTTGCTTCTCTCCCGCACCCTGAGCTTCCGACTCAACCTTCCTTTTCGGCGGTCGATTCCGCATGCGGGGATTACGCTGCCGACGCCCTTGTCGACGCGGTGCCTGGCGAAAGAGGCGATAGCTCAAAGCCTTCGTCACAGCCTTTGTGTGATATCTAGCATTCCACTCCCAGCCTTGGGACGCTGCTGCACTGAACCTTGGAGACACTGCGAGAATCTGTGGGCAGACCAAGATGTGAAGTCGAAGCTGCAACTACGACTGTGGCGGCCTTCATGCTCAAATATTGCTTTCGGGGAGCCTTTCATCATCAGGTCGTGAAGCAACTGCTCCGCATACGCCCGCGCCTGCTAGCAAACACAATCTAATCGCAGACCAAACCTAGTTGGGTTGGTTCCGATGACTCGCCTAAGGAATGTCCCACCTCCTGACGATGGCCGCAGATCAGCAGTACATCTGATGTGCTGCTGTCTCCCTGGAAGAAACAGAAGGTTCCGGACTCCTCGCAGAGCGTTTGCTGTGAAGCGGGGCATCGTTCTTGCTTCAGTCTCACACTCCGGGCATCTCCTGGCCTTTTCGACTTCGCGCAGCGAGGCAGCTTTGGTCAAGCCGCGCATCTCCTCCGGCACCTTGCGAGCTTCCTAGATGCCAGTTGTTTGGCCTGGCTTCGGCGGACCTCCATCTCCATCACATCGTCCCGACCAGCTATTTCGATGTTCACCGGGCCGGTGCGTTGCCAGGTGAGCCACATGAGGTAGTCCCTGCAGATAGGCGGCTGGACTGCAGCTTCAGGAACATTTGGATGCACCGGAAGCGCACCTTGCCCGCTTCCGTTCCTCCAAGGTGCCGGCCATGTAGGCTACGTTGCCAACCTCAAGTCGGGAGAGCTCAACTCGAGCAAGGCTCCCCTTCCAAGGCCCCCACGTATTCTAAAACGCAGCCGCTGGCTCTCGCCTGCTTCAGCTGAACATCCCAGAATTGGAATAGGGTTTTGGGGCCAGTATACTATATAGTTGTAATAAGGACCCCCTCCCCAAAAAAAAACATGGTGTAGGTAATCCCACTCATCTGCGCCCTTTCGCGAATGCACAAATCTCGCCGGCTCCGCCAACTTCCGCCTTGTGGCGCCATCCTGGACACAGCAATTCCA